ACATAAAATGCTGCCGATAACATTTGACATTGGCTTTGTATGGAACAGTCACGCATAATGCGTTGTCGTAAGGCTCATTAGTTAATACATTTACACTATTGTGTATAACGATCAGCTGTTAGATACGTAAGTTATCATTTCCTCTAATGTCTTGGGTGGGAATGAAATATGATTTTGGCATGAAAGCTTCACTTTCGCGAAGTACCGCAATAGCAATTGTTTTCATCGATAAAAAAATGTCGTCTTTGGGTGTTCACTTACAATTTTTTTGTCGTCATAGATTTCAAAATGGCGGACTGAGGGATTGCCGAAGTGAGGGGTTTTTCTGGACAAAACACCTTACATCTCAGTAGCTAATTATTATTAAATTTGAGGCATTCCTTTTAAAAAATCACAACTTCGATATGTAGGTCAAAATTTGGAAATCCTGTATAATCGCCAATATTTTAGAAATATATCCTCAAATGTCATATATATATATATATATATGTATATATGTCTTTAATAGATTTTCCCAAAATATATTTGATTATGAATAATATTCCGTCCACACATGGATTGGCTACCCTGTATTTGTGTTGTTTCAACTAATCCATGCTATAACAGAAAATATGTGAAATTGTTGCTACAGAAGTTTGTACAATTTGAGCCTTCTCGACAACTTCGACAACTGCTGAGAAGATTTTGGAATATCTGCCTAGAGTCAGGAGATACTTTTCACGGTGAAATATTTCCAGTAAAACATGCGGAACTGAACCAACAGCGCAGCTTCTTAACGTCACAAGTCTCTTTTTGTTGAAATGCTGTGTTCTTAATACTGTCGTGTGACTATATCCTCGTGTGTATAGAGATGATTGAATAACAATAATTTTTTCGTCAAAAATGCATTTTTGTGAATTTTTAAGCATTTTTCTTCAATCGTAACTTGCTAAGAGCTCTGCAATTGTATGTGAATATTCCACTTTTATAGTAAAGGGTTGTCCAATAGGGACGCAGGAAAGTAAACGTCAATTTGACATAGACGCCATCTTTGTTTTCTGTCACCGACATGTCATTTTGTTAGTTGAATGTTTACCATTGATCGCTATGGAGTCGTATTCGATTGAAGACCGCATTAAAGTTATTCAAGAGCACTACAAAAATGGTGCAAAAATAAAAAACACGTTTCGCGCGCTTCGTCAACATTTCGGTCGCAACAACCGCCCAAACGAAACAACCATCGGTCGTCTGGTGCGTAAATTCGAGGCAACAGGTTCTGTGGCAAATCTGCCAGGCTCTGGCCGGCCAAGGAGCGTTCGCACACCGGAAAATATTGCTGTTGTGAAGGAGAGTGTGAGAGACGATCCGAAACAATCAACAACGCGTCGATCCCAAGAATTGGGCATTTCGAGAACCAGTTTGCTCCGCATTCTCCACAAGGATTTGAATGTACACGCCTACAAGATCCAATTGACGCAAGAGCTGCGTCGAGCCGACCATTGTTCGCGCCGAACGTTCTCAGATTGGCTCCTTGAACACCGTCAAATTGATGCCAATTTTTCATCAAAAATCATGTTCAGCGACGAATCGCATTGCACTTTGAATGGGACGGTAAACAAGCAAAACTGCCGCATCTGGGCGAACGAAAATCCCCGTGAGTATCAAGAGCAGCCGATGCATCCTCAAAAAGTGACTGTGTGGTGTGCATTGTGATCAAAAGGCATCATCGGACCTTACTTTTTCGAAAATTCGGCCGGGGACGCCGTTACCGTCAATTCTGAGCGATATCACGTGATGATAGAGAACTATATTTTGCCGCAACTTGAAGGAATGGATATGGACGATGTTTATTTCCAACAAGACGGTGCAACATGCCACACAACCAACGTCAATATCCATCGATTGCAGTCCTTCTTCGGTGATCGCGTGATTTCGCGCAGAGGAAATGTGCCATGGCCACCAAGATCGTGCGATTTGACTCCCTTGGACTTCTTTTTATGGAGATATTTGAAAAGCAAAGTCTACCCTCCAAGAACTCAAAAACAACATCATTGCCGAGATAAATGCCATAGAACCGACCATGTTGCAAAATGTCATTGAAAATTTCGACCATCGCGTGGACGTCTGTAAATCCAGTCGTGGTGAACATTTGAGCGATATTATTTTTCATACATAAATGGTATGAATGAACCTTCAAAATAAAGTACCCAACTTGATTTGAATATCAATCTTTCTTGTTTTAATATGCGTTTACTTTCCTGCGTCCGCTTTGGACAACCCCATATAATTGAGCGGATATTTACTTGTTTTCTTATCATTAAGGATAAGGAAAAAAGTAATGACCTGCTCAAATGTACTGCAAAAGTGGAATACCTGTATTCACTTGAATATTTCAGAACTATACTATTATTTATTGAAAACACACGATTGAAGAATAAACGCATGATAAAGTGCGTAAAATGCAAAGAGGCTGTTGAAAAAAGGGATGTGTGACCTTATTTCTTTCTTCTACCGATATGTCAACAGTCTATGCTCATCTTTGCCGACTCCCAAGACGTCGCCGCACTTTAGGCCTGCACTATAGCATAATCTATTGTTTTGATTTGACCGAGTCTAATTTGTATTCATATATTGCAAATAGTAAAATCGGCTAATGATAATTGCAAAATCGTAATACGGTGTTAATTAAAATATCCATTAATAAGTAATCTACTTAGCGTGCGATTCTCCCAACAGTTTTGTTCAAGGATTACAATAAATTATGGTTTGGATGCAACTCTCAATATCATATTTATCTTTATCAATGCATTATTTCCGCTTTTATAAACAATAAATGTACAGTCCTTTTCATAATGTCATCTTCTTCAACATACTTTTTGAATACGCTAAACTAGCGCCAAAGTGGCAGCTGAAAATTCAAATATGTCCGTTGGCCGCCATCTTGGAATACTTCTTAATGCCGAAATGTGATCAATCTCAATGTTTTACTGGCCAAATGAAACCACAGATGTAGAAATGGAAGCTTACTATCGGCTAATCTTGACTTCATAAACGCATCACTGCAGTCTTTGTCTGTAAGTTTCACAATATAATTCCGTATTTGTATTTTCTGAAGGAACTAGTTTCCCATCCTTAGGACACTAGAACTAATGAGGTGTAGTATATTATTAGATATATAGATAGATGGTTTACGTTTCTTTTGTTCATATTCCACAGCGGATGTATTAGTAGTACATCCTTTCCTTGAATCTTCTTCGTATCATCTTTGTGTAGGAAGGTACTGGTAGTTTTAGCAAGGTTACATACACAGTGGCGTAGCAAGGGAGGGGGGCGGTGGTGGGTCGCACCGGGTGTTACCTTTTTTTGGGGTGAAATCCCACCCGTCACTCAACTTTAAGAACAATGTACAAACATAAAAAAATTGCACAGATTGCATTGCAAAGTAAAGGCTCAACTGTTGACAAAACTGCTACAAAAATAGAGGCACTTCGTCTTTCTATAGAAGAAAGACGGGCTCACATTGTGGAAGAGGCAATAGATATTGCTACAAAAAATTAGAAAACTACGATATTTCAACAGAAAGACGTCTTCGACGTAAAAAATGGGTGGTTCGTGAGATGGTCAGTGATGCAGGCTCACACTGAAAGAAGAACTTCAAAAAGATATGTTGGAATGTCTTAACCGATTCAGAGTTGAACTCCAGACAAGATCGAAGTCTCTTCAAGACCTAGCTTCATTGTTCGAGATCGTACAAAGAAATATTTTGATTTGATTCTATACAATACCTAGGTAATGTATAGAATACCTAAAACGTGTAGGTAATGTATGAAATATTTGTTTTATACTTTTCCCAGCTATTCTATACAATACCGAATGCGCAGCCGGTAATGTATGTAAACGACCAGAGCAAGGAACGAGTTGTACGTACCGTCAGGCAGGCAATAAACGTGTTGAGTACTTGTAAGCAAAAAAAATACATTATGTCACTGATATCCAGAATAATTTTTAGTTTCACATTATTTCACTGTGATTTTACTGTAGAAACAGAAAAACGCTTTTCTGTACCCGTTTTAATAAAGCTTATATGTAAGGAGCACTCTAATTGTTAATTTTGATAAAGTTGATTTTAAATAATATAGCTTGTTTCATTTGGATGTCATTTTCTAGGTATGCCGGTTAACATTGATAAATAATATTTCATACATTGCCTGGGCTACCCAGGTATTCTATAGATTGCCTAGGTTTTGTCTAGAATACCTGAATTGTACAGATCACCGCTAACACATACAAGAACAAAAAGAAGAAATAGTTTGTAGTTATGGTTGCGTCAAATTTGACTTGATAAAGTGATCGTAGAGGAGGGGGGGGGGGGTTAATATGGTGACCGCGATTTTAAACCTCAGTATCATCATATTAGTTATCCAACAATCGTGTCCATAGCTACTGCTCTAACGGTGCATAGGCGTTACGTTACATTTTCAGCGTTTGTATTGGCGATAGGTAATCCCTAGAGATGAAATTGCTCAAATAAAAGATGATAAAAAGGAATGAGATGATTTGAATCTCATATTTTCAGCTCCTTACGTAAAGTCGATTTATTATTTTCCACAATTTCGGTAAATCTAGTCATAACGATTATCAAATTGAATAGCATTCAGCATATAAACAGTTATCGGATACGGGAGATGTCCCCAAGTTGAAGAGGAAGCAGTATATTGAGCACGGCTCAAGCTTTACTTACAATCACATTTATGACAGAAGTTATATGAAATCCGTGATGTTTTTTCGCCTAATAGCATCTTCTATTTTTATAACCTATACGTGTTACACACTTTAAAGGGCTATAAGCTCCTTCAATACATTGGATCATGCTGAGCATTTCTTTCTACGTAATACCCTCCATACTCCAAGATATTCCGGCACTTACAGTCACTCAAGCTTCGAAGTGAAATAATGATGAAACAATTTTGACGCAGAGTTTTGCTTCAAAACCATCATTCTGAACTTTCCGCATTTTCTAGTGTCTGGGCAACCACGAGTTCGACAGCGGTGTGGAAGGACTGGCCCCTTTCCTCAACCTCATACGATGTCCTGTAGTGGCTGCCAACTTGAACTTAAGCAAGACTCCAGAACTATCGAAGGTCCAGAAATCAGTGGTACTTACAAGGAGTGGTCAGAAAATCGGTATCATCGGCCATTTGACCCAGGAGACCAAACTCATATCTCAACCGGGAAAGGTCATTTTTGAAGACGAAATTGAGGCTGTGAGAAAAGAAAGTGAAAGGTATTATAGAAGACACTGGACAAAATATGCAATATTTCTGTAGAATAGTCTATAGGAAATTATAAAAGTTCGTATGGGAAAAATGATGTTTTCAGCTAACAGTTCAAATTCCGAGGAAACACATTTACCGGTATTGTGGCGTAATTTCTCTTATGTCATCACTGTCATCGACCAGCTGTTAAAAGGCATATGCGATAGATGTTAGACACAGAATAGTACAACACAATAATGACAAAATAATATAAATAATATACCCTATAAGTATGAAAAAGCAAAAAATATAATCTTTTGTGCTTGTGCTTCAACCTAAGTATATCAAAACATAGTCGATTTTCTATGTGTTTTGGTCAAATGTAAACTGCGCAACTTCAAGAGCGAGTCACTTTCTTTCATCATTTGTTTCAGCATTACTACTCATGGTACATCATATATTTTTTAGTTGCCAGATGTTTGAATTTGGTTTTAATTATATTTTGAAGAAGATCCATTGTCACAACATAACGTCATAAAGTATATTCTGTTGAAGTTCACCGTCAAACTCCGTTTAGTGAGAAACGCGTAGTCCAATTTATTTTTGTTTTCTAGGGATCCCAATCACTTTATGGATAAATATCTTAATTGCCGTGTCATCTGCAAAACTAATAGATTATCCATCATTATTTAATTTGAAAGGTCATCAGCATATAGATTGTGGAACTCTGGACGTAAATGTCATGTCTTCACTTAGTGTGTTAACCTAAAATATTTTGTCATGAACAGGAGTGACGTTACGGACTTTTATTCATGTATCCGTTTTGAGTAACTTTTAGTTTCTGTTCATTGATTATAATAACTTGTCATTGTTCTTGATACCTTCTTCACGTATTTTCCAAAAATTATATCTTTGCATATTCTCGATCAGATCAACGTATGTGGTTATCAGTAAATCAATGAATTAAGAAAGGAAAATCCAGCAATATGCCCAGAGCTGATACCCGTCTATTATATTAATAATTTGTTTTCCAAAGGCTGACAGCTGACGGCGTGAAGATCATCATCGTTTTGGGCCATTCAGGCTTCCTCATGGACCAACGCATTGCTGCCGAAGTGCCTCTAGTAGACGTAGTGGTGGGAGGACATACGAACACGTTCCTCTGGAATGGTCCTCAGCCAGATTTAGAGCCAATTGATGGACCGTATCCTTTCGTGGTAAGACAGAAAGGTGGAAAAAACGTTCCAGTTGTCCAGGCGTACGCTTACACCAAGTATCTAGGTGAGTACCGATGGTACAGATATAGATGTGTTCCGTAATGATGTGCTAATATTTCCGGATATGATTTCTCAGCGAATTTTTTGACGAAAAGTTTGTACTACTGCACCACCAGTGGCATCCCTGCAAACATATCTTGTGATATCTTTTACAAAAAATTGGTACGCCACCGGTATTTTTCAATGCGAATATTCTTTCCTGATCAGCAGTTACCAGTGTAAAATTTAAATCAAAAATAGTGTTTCAGAGGAGAAAATAGCAAGAGAGAGAGAGAAATGCCTCGAGGAATATTTACTTATTTTTCTTTGTAAAGTTACAAGTGAGGGACGGCACCTTTACACTAAAATACTCGTATGAAATTTTGCCTCTGGTAACATGCTAAAGATAAAAACAATATCTAAAGTGCTTTCGAAGATATAGAATAAAAAATTTTTACTCTAAAGCTAGCTAAGAATTTAAGCCGTTAATGACATATACGAGGTCTGTAAATTAGGCGATGATAGACCTCGTATGTCCACATAAACATTTCCGCATAGAGTTATTTGAAGAGTCTTGTTGTTTTGTATTGTGACATTGATAATTTCCGAATTCGAGATTATTTTGTTTTGATGTTTTGTAACGCTTACATCATTTTACATCTGTTATTTTACGTTGGACGGTCAACGTTTCTGGCTGATGGTTGGGTGATTCTAGGAACAAAAATTCGTATGAAAGTTTTCAAAACAAAATCTTTAAATTTCAATCTTTTTTGAAAATTCGTTTTTTAATCGTATGACGCTTTTGATGATTTTGGTCAAATTTGTCGAATTTGCCGAAAATTTAACTACGATCAACTTAATGAAATCATAAATTGTAATGGACATGTAGATCGGAGGAGCTTTTTCCTTTTGGGTGTAAAGATTTCGTAGACGTTTATTTGTTTTAATAACTGGACACCCAAAAGTTCAACAAAAGCGAGTAAAGATAGTTATATACTTATGTTCATATAAACTTCTTACACTCATTTCAGCAATCACCCACTCATGTTTTTGTCCAGACTCTTCATTAACATCCTGAATTTGTGGCGTTTTTAAATAAAAATATAGTGTTTATATGTTGCTTGAATTTGCTTCTGTAGTAACAACAATATTATGGAGTTAAATGTCACTTAACAAAGCTCTTCAACATGTGTGGTGCTACGTAACAGTATTTGTGTTGGATAACATGAAACATTTCGATAATGGATGGTAAGAAGTTATGATAGTGATTACTGGTATGGCATATGTGTATAACCATAATATGAGGCTTCGTCTCGGTACATCGTCATACTATAATAATTATATTATCATATTCATTAGCAAATGCGTTTAGAAAAACAAACATCAATTAAAATATTCGTTATCATGAAATTCATATCATATGTCTGACTAAACACTGTGGAATGGTGGAATTAACACAACGTTTCAAGAAAATAAGCGAAATAACGTATAATTTAAAAAAATTGCTAGTTTTGAACAACTTCATAATTGAATCGCTATTACATGAATTACATTTTTTTATAGAATATGTGAACAATAGACACCAAATTATATCTATTAATTTCCAATTTAAAAACTCCTTAATAGTCTGGGATTTCATGTACCACAAATTGCGCACTACATGATAAACGATACGCCTATTAAAATACAGGGTGTTACAGGATGTTAGGAAAATTCAATGCAGTTCAGCTCGTGAAAAACCTGGAAAAAGTGTAGATATAGGTCTAGCAGTTTCCCATTTCGTTATTCAGCTAAAAGTTGCATGTCACTGGTTTCTGAAAAAATAAATGCCTTCTTTAGGCCTTATTTATTCTACTTGACAAGTGTTTTTCAGTAAATTTGATGAAAAAATTCCAACTCGATTACTATTTTCAATAGCGACAAATATATTAAGTGACATATAAATCCGAACACGCAGTTTAAATGGTTTTATTTTAATAAAATTTTGTATAAGTACTTAATGAAGCATAATAAGTAAATGATAAAAATTTCAAAATGATTGCACTGCTTTAAAGCCCTTTGACCTTTAATAATGTGTGGATGCACCCTGATGTGCTACGCATTCTCCAACGCGCCTAGTGATGCTTCTGATCAGGTGGTCAATGTCCTCCTGTGGTAGCTCATTCCAGGCAACCACCAACTCTTCTCGAAGTGCTTTTAGAGTCTGAGGAGGACATTGCAAATTGAGCAATCTCCTACCCATCATATCCCACACGTGCTCAATTGGGGATAAGTCGGGAGATCTTGGTGGCCATGGTAACAATGTGACATCATTATGTTGAAAGAAGTCTATTGTGACTCTTGCAACATGTGGTCGGGCATTATCTTGTTGGAAAGTTGGATCTGCCAGGGTGTCAAGATAGGGTAAAAAATGGGGTTCTAGAACTTCGTGGATATAACGCTGCGCGTTCATGTTACCTCTGATGAAGATTAAAGTTGACCTGGAACCATAAGCTATAGCACCCCAAACCATAACTCCAACAGTGTGATGAACATGTCTTTCAACAAAAAACTGTGGATTCCTCCTTTCACCACGTCGCCTTCTAACCCTGGCACGATCATCGTGCATGCCTAAACAAAATCGAGACTCGTCACTAAAGACAATACTGTTCCATTCCTGATCCCAGAGTGACCGTTGTCTGCACCACTCAAGGCGATTACGTCGGTGTTCTCGAGTTAAAGGGAGGACCCAGTGTGGCCGGTATGAAAACAAGCCAGAACTTCTCATTCGTTGGTAAACACTTCGCATGCCAATAGGTTTTCCGTGTTCTGCAAACCATTCATTTGCAATGGACCTGGTAGTGGAGAAGCGGTCCCTTAAGGCCAATAATCTTAGGCGGCGATCTTCACGGTCTGTTGTTCTACGGCGGCGTCCGGTGCCCCTTGCTCTTTGCGTACGGCCTTCTCGAAGCCATGCCTGACAACACCTAACCACAGTGTCTACACTTATTTGCACTCTAACTGCAATTGCCCGAAAAGAAAGTTCAGCTTCCCGAAGTCCCACTATACGGCCCCTATCAAACTCACTAAGTTGACGAAATCGTACAGGTCTCCGTACTCTAGGCATCGTAACCGATCGTAAAGTATGTCAAGGACCAAAATTCGCCAACGTTGATTCTTTACTGCGGCTGTAATATTCATTTTTAGAGCGTTAGTGAATTAAAAAAAAGCAGTATAAAAACCGGAATCTCCAACTGATAAGGCTGAAAATTTTTTCACTTGTTATTTACAGTAAGATAAATACATTCACCAACTTTTATTAAAATAAAACCATTTAAACTGGGTGTTCGGATTTATATGTCACTTAGTATAGACCGAATGAAATAATTTTTCTCTCGAAAGCAGTGCCCCTGAACGAAACATTCTAAGAAACAGTTTAAGTAAAATCAATCTGGATTCAAAATTCTGATGCTGTATTTTGGTAAAAATTAGTAGCGTACTGTTTTTCGCTTATCAAGTGAAAACGCTGATCTCTACAAAAACTTGTTTCCTGTGTAAATATGTTGCGTAAATTCCAAATTCAACATCATCTCGACGCAAGAACAATGGAGTTCTATATTCAGGCTGTGTTCAGTTTATGCAACTTTTGCAAAATGCGTTAGAGCTACTAGCGTGGTGAGTACTATCCTCAGTGACGAGATGCCTATGTGGTGGGAGACACTGTCAAACAGGAGGAGTCACTATAAAGTGCCATCTGTTACCATCGACCACTGCGAATTGTTGTCACTTTTTCTGGTAACAGATGGCGCTTTGTTCTGTCTTATTTCGATAAATCTATAGATCAGTTAATATTCTGAATTTAGGATTTGCTTCATTTGGCCGGCAGTGAAAACCGTCCGGTTAACATATTTGAACTGAAAATAAATGCAGGCTTGTGTATAAAGTCAAAGAAAGTGATCAGAAAACTATTTACAGGTGTGAGTTTTCAGTTGTTGTTCTACGTTGTTTACACAACCAAGTTCTTTGTAAATATTTCCTTCAGTTAACATGGTCAACGAAGCTCCGAAAAATCACTATCAAGCCTAAAAATTGATCATGGATTATTTTGGAAATCAGAAGTAAAGCTACACATCACATTTCTGTGACATTGCATTTTTAACGCTGCTACACCCATGAATCATAGATACATTTTGGTTGGATTTCCTTTGTCAATCACACCTCTAGCTTAGCTTCTGTATGAAAGAACGGATTCCAAATATGCTGGAATACTCGTAACATTACTTGCTTAAAATCATTAACAAAGCATCGGTACACCATTTCCTTCCTTTATATTGCATCCAGGCACGTAGCACCAACTTGTTATAGTGAATCGCCCTGTACACATCCAACAGACTCGCGACCCACTTCCGAGGGCCGGCCATCGACTACCTGGGTAGTTATAGTACAGGAAGTATCTTCGCATCTGCTTGAAAATATGTTTTGATGATTTTTTTCGCATAATCTCATTCAAAAAAGACCGTTTTTAATGGATCTGCATGTAGAATTGCGTCAAAAATTGTTTTTCTCTTCTATTAAGGTTGTGCAAAAAACTTAATCATAATATTTTTCCGGATGGTTTTTAAGATATTTCCTGAGCTATTACTGCAGGTAATGAATGGGTGATCGCATCCAAATGGCAGGTAGCATTGCAGCCACCAGATATATCACCTCAGCCACCGCGGCAGAACGTTTTTTCGATGGATCGGTTCTTCTTATGGTAACTGTGTATCCTTTGGTTAGAAAATAAATGTTGTTTTAGGTCGCCTCAACCTGACGTTCAACGACGACGGTGACCTGATCAAGTATTCCGGCCAACCGGAATTGCTCGGCTCTTCAATTCACCAAGATGAGGACGTACTTCAACTGCTTGAGGTCTACCGACCTGAGATCAACAGGGTAAACAGTCTGGTGGTTGGGCAGTCGAAGGTTACCTTGGAGGGAGGTGATGAATGCCGTAAAAGGGAGTGTAACTTTGGAAACCTCATCGCTGATGCTATGGTAAATAAACAACGCTATACTAGATTCATTTTCGAGATGCTGTAGATGTAAACAATGTCAGGCGTGGCGGGCTAGGCCAGACTAGCCAGAGCCGTATTCTGTAATTAAGCGCGATATGTCGGTGTTTACAGAAACCTGTCATATCCAACGAATTTGTTTAAATTGAAAGAAGCCAAGATTACATTTTAATGTTGTCGTCAAAATTTCATGCGTACTTTTGGCTGATTTGGAAGGATATTCAAGCAGCTATTCGTAATGTGTGTACTCACATAGAGCAAGGCATACTGTCTATGTTGAGATGTCGATTGCTCAGTTTTTGTTAATAAACAGGGATAAATCATAGTTACCTTGCAACTCTCTTGGTAAAAGCCCAATGTTGAAAGACATGCCTTTTCGCAACGCCGAAGATTATAATATATAACACTCGATAACTAGATTTGCTCTTAATCAATTTACAATGCTTCTTACATTCCACAGAAACTTGTACCACTTTCGGCAACTAAGATTGTATGGAACCCATGCACTTGCAAATGTATTTTCAGAAAAGTACGAATTTAATGTGAAATCTCAACAACCAGCGACTTAAGCCTGATCAATTTGTAGTATGAACTTGCATCGTGACTACTGACTACGCAATTTTAGTTACAAACAAATCGTGTGCTTGCACTTTTTACCTATTCCGAATTCGTTTGACACGCCACTGCTCAATATATTCCACCAGTTGGTAATACTCAGTGGTTACACATAATATTTCTTTCGAAGACTATAGTTAGTTGACGTGAGCTGAGCTGATCCAGTCTTTTATTACCGGGGACGTGTTATTACGGCCGTCCTTGTGAATAGGCCAATCAGCACCCTGCAACCTCGCACTAGCCTACTGAATTTTGTTTTGACTGATTGCACGTGGCAAATAAATTTGTTAATGTTACTGCACAGATAAGCAGCGAAGTGTGATCTTTTTACTCGGTAATATTTTCTCCGTCATCTTATTCTAATAGTATCCCACGAACCTGAAACCCACAAATCATACTAGCGAAATGTGGGTTGTCGTGATTTAGGCCCATATCAGCATAATGGCATTTGCGTCATTCCTTCATAGCTGGTGATCACGGCTTTTGGCTTCATGAACAGTGCGATTTTTGCAATAGAAACTGTGCGATTGTGATGTTTTACGTATTAAGCACGCGAGTTTTGGATTATAATGAATACATTAAAAAATATATTTTAAAAAACTAGTTTTCATGTAAACGTGTCTTGCATCCTTTTTTCTATTCTACTGTCAAAACAGTAACGCGCTTTTATTAGAAACCCTGAGATGAAGCAGTTTACTAGCGTTTAAATATTTCCAGTCGGAAAAAAATATTTAACAGCCCGCCTGAAGGAGTATTCTAAATACTTTTCGTCTGACTGTGTTATGGTGTGTATATCGATGACCCTTTAATCATAACTTATTAACAAATAATAGTACAGCTCTAACATTGTATGTGAATATTCCAGTTTTATGGAAGAATGAAGAGGGTGATCACTTGTTTTCTTATCTTTTCTTATAGAATAAGTGATAAGAATCAAAGTAATCACCCGTTTCATTCTTCCATAATGCACATATAATTTCAGAGATGTACCATGAAAAGAAAGCGAAAAAAAACTTCCTTTTTCCAATAGTTAAATAGAAGCTAGTGTTTCTTAATTTTCATAATTTTTTAATTTTGAGTATTCATGACATGTCAAATAACTAGTTTGAAAATGTCTATATACTTTTCATATAGTTTATTGTTGCATAATTTTAAGATTCGATAGAACTTTTAAAATTAATGCATAAAGTCTATATAAATATGGGCCGAAAAATGCGTGGCTTCCGAAATACAGGGTGTTTAAATTTACTTTTTAAAATAGTTTTTTTTTTAAATATTCCGAACAATATTTGATGTATAACAGTGAAAATTGGTATACAAGGGGTTTTACTGTAGTTTTTCTTAGAGCAATATTTTTGCTTTTTGAATAAAAAAACTGATTCTTCGCACTTTTCTGCATAAAAAAGCTCTCCTGTGAGTATTCGGTATAGTTAGCTGTTTTTGAGATATTTCGATTTTTAAGGTTCGATGCATTTTTAATTATTTATGGGAAAATAATATTTTTTTTTACATTTTCGATTTGTGCATTACAAGTAATTAAGATGATCGTTTAGATTGTGTTTTTAAACACAGCAATAATTCCTAACTCCAAATAAACACAAAAAACAGAATATTAATTTGTTTAGTTTTCCAATATTATTTTTAACAAATTAAATTAATTACTTACTAACTAAAATGCTATTGGATAGTTAGGACAAACATACAAAATCTAAAGTAGTTGCTCGAAATGTAAACCCAATTGTTCAATACACAATTTACATCTACGAATGATCGAACGTGGTATAGCATTATTCAAATAAGGCCTTATTTCATCACATGCATTCCTGATTCTGTCTATTAGCATATCTCTTGTGGTTACGGGAGTCTGGTACACTTTTTCTTTTAGAAATCCCCACACAAAGAAATCTAATGGATTTAGGTCAGGGGATCGTGGAGGCCAGGCGACTGGTCCTCCACGGCCGATCCATCTTTCTGGATAATTTTCGTCCAGCCAGTTTCTAACTATTCTCGAATAATGAGCTGGACAACCATCAAGCTGGAACCAGGTCAATCTTCTTAAATCTAACATAACATCATCTCACATATTTGCATGTTCAGCCTTTAAAAATTCCAAGAAGGTCGCAGCATTTAACCTTGCAGGCAAAAGGTAGGGTCCAAATAGTCGATTACGGTAGATACCAATCCACACCTTCACACTAAATTCATGCTGAAAATTTCTTTCCCGAACTGCATGCGGATTTTCATGCTACCAAATATGTTGATTATGAAAATTTACCACTCTACGTCTAGTGAAGCATGATTCATCAGTCCATAAAACGTTACTTAAAAACTCCCTATTATTATCAGTTCTATCAAGAATCCACTGACAAAATGTGATTCTTCGTTCTCCGTCCCCTGGCTGTAGTCCTTGCACAGGTTGCAAATGGTAAGGACGACTATGGTCATTTCTAAGAACACGGTGAACATGGCTTGCTGAAATTCCCAAGGCACCAGAAACTCTCCTAACACTTGTGGTCGAATCTCTCGCAGAATCATACGGGTAAATCTGCGCTGACGGACATTTATGTTTTGATCCCTTTGGAGATTTGCAAAACCATTTTCAATTATTTGGCGATGCACTCTTACAAATGCTGAGCGGGTTGGATGTCGTCTGTTTGGAAATCTTCGTGCGTATTCTCTGGCTGCTTCTGCTGCGTTTCCATTTACAAAGCCATACACAAAATGAATATTCGCTAACTCTTGATTGGAGAATAAAAATGGCATTTTTATAAAGCTTACAAAAAAAAACGGGTAAAAGAAACTAAATTTCGTGCATTCACAATTGCAAAAAAACGTTTCAGGTTTCAACAGACAACAAAACTAACTGTCAACCAATTGACGTTTAACCTTATTCTGCTTTCAATTTCAAAAATATTTGCAGGCACAGCCTACTTCTAAAAATTATCGAGATACTGACTTTTTAACGTTATTTTATCATAAATAATTAAAAATGCATCGAACCTTAAAAATCGAAATATCTCAAAAACGGCTAACTATAACAAAAATTCACAAGAGAGCTTTTTTATGTTGAAAAGGGCGAAGAATCAGTTTTTTATTCAACAAGCAAAAAATTGCACTAAGAAAAATTTTTCGGTCATTTTAATGCACTACAGGTACAGTAGAGAGCGCCCTCTAACGGCTACAGTAAAACTATGCCCATGGTTCGTTTTGTCGTACCAAAAAACCCTTGTATACCAATTTTCACTGTTATACATCAAATATTGTTCGAAATATTTAAAAAAACCAATTTTAGAAAGTAAATTTAAACACCCTGTATTTCGGAAGCCACGCATTTTTCGACCTATGTTTATATAGACTTTATGCATTAATTTTAAAAGTTCTATCGAATCTTAAAGTTATGCAACAATAAACTGAAACACCCTGTATAATAGGTCTCAATGGATATTCTTACTTTGATTATAAAATTCCGATAGATATAAATCATATAATGACAAGTCGCTATTTTGGGGCCATATGGAATTTTATTTGCTTATTATGTTTCTTTCATTAAGACCTTTCATTTAATACTCATAACATAGCGGTGACTATGGGAATTAAGAAACTCCATTTTGCGGCAGCCGCCATATTTGAGTAAGAATGACGTCACGTTGCCTGTTATGTTTCTCTTATCAAGCCCTTTAATTTTACACCTATATCATAAGGGATTATTACGGTAAATAAATACGCCATCTTGAAGCGGTCGCCATGTTGGATTCAGAATAACGTTACTATACTAATTGTGTTTTTCTCATCAACCCCTTTCATTCGATACTTATGTATATCATAGGGGTGACTACGAAAAACGTAAATTGTCATTCCGCGGTGACCGCCATATTGGATTTCAGGGATGACTATAAAAATTATAAATCGACATTTTACGGCCGCCGCCGTATTTGATCTAGAATCACGTCACACATTTGATATCCATATCATAGGGGTTACTATGGAAATGATGCAACGTCATTTTGCGCCATCTGCCATATTGGATTCAAAATGGCGACAGTTAATTCAATCTGTATTGCCACGCAATCCACACGTACGAGTACACCACATATCAACCCAATTGGTTAAGGCTAACTGGATCAAAATTCAGTTTTAACACACATACTAAAAATAGGTCAGGTTATGTAAAAGCTTGTAAAATATAATAAATCTCAGGTGGCGTACATAGCGACAGTATCGCCAGACACTTGGACAAGTGCCCCTATTGCGGTAGTGAATGGTGGCAGCATTCGAACTACTATAATGCCGGGGAAGGACGGAGCAGTCACCAGAGGGGAAATCTTAGGAGCCATGCCTTTCGGTAACTCAATAGTCACTCTCAGCCTTAGCGGCGAAGATTTGGTGAAAACCTTGGAGATAGGGGCTAGGAGCAATGGCGAAACTTCCAGGGGAGAGTTCCTGCAGGTTTCAGGTCAGTTGATGATTCTTATTTTCCATTTAATGTTACGTACAAATTTCCAAATGTATGTCATCCAGATAATGCTTCAATGGATTCATACAGAGTGTGCTGAATGTTGAGACTTTCCTTCTTAGAAAACGACTACGTTCGAAATAACAAAGCTAATTTTCGGTAAAACAGCACCAAAACAAAATTAAAGAGAAATACTCACTATCCATTTGGTAAGGAATTTCAATTACTGCCTGTCAAATGTTTTGTTAGTAAATACTGTCTGAAATTGACGTTAGTTGATTCATAAATACGAATTTGCTTACTTCCTCATGAATTTGGGCCAAATAACTCTTGCACAATATAAAGCAGCTCTGATGAAAACATCCAGGACGACGTTCTGAATACACTCGAGGAAGATGTTCGCGATAAGCTGAAATTAAATCGATAACTACGCTCACCTAACAATTATCACTATTAGAGTGGCAAGAATGATTATACAGTATTCTTTACACAGCATTGTATTCTGTAAGAACATTGGCAAAACCCTCTTAGAACAGCTACAGAAGCGGAATGGGCACACCTAATAGGACACTTCAGTCATTTAAGAGGTTATATAAGGGCTGCAGGTAACAGTTATACAACAAAACTGTAACCCCCTTGCAGCCGCTATAGGACATTTGCGTCAGTGCAAGATTCAGTTTTTGTCAACTATACAACTATTCTGTTACGTGATTCTACTTTATTGCAACCAAACTATTTCTTATGTATTGCATAGACGAAGTGAAGAATATATAACTAACACATTACAGTGATCTTGTTTACTTACATATCGGCCATTGTGAATTTCATACACAGGTATATGATAAACTTCTACACTGTGATATAGGGCTATTGAATTACTTGCGCAGCAAATTTTATTGTGATTATCGTGCAAAGTAGTTACGCCATTTCTACGGGCTTCTTATTTGATGCATATTTTGATAATGGTCAAAAGTATGTCTAGATTTTTAAGATGGAAAACTGAACTTATCTGCGTCAAATCTTCCACAAATCCTATATTTAGACATAATTACACTAATGTTTATCACTTTCTATCTGTAATTTCGAACTGGAACATAATTATTTAATATTAAATAGAGGAATAAATGTTTGCCCAATATGGTTGGTGGTTGTTTATAATCATGGCATCGTCCATGTTATCTTCAGTTTATTAGAATATTTAGGTGTTGCCTGCAAGTGTTATACAACAATTTGACAAATGTCTGAAATGAAATACCGACAGAGTCGAATGATTTACCCAGAATTTGTACCAGATCTATGTCTTCTGTTTGAACAGTTGATAAAACCTTTTGAACCAATATGCATGCGTTGTTTGTCTGAAATCATTGGTTATGGCATTTTAACAAAAATATGACAGCAGAAAGTTAGGTTATGGTGAAGTTGTATACCAACATATTTAGCATATGTACAGCCTTTAACAGTTACTAAACAACAGTTGTATAAGTGCTTCCGTTGGGAGCAATTTGTTGGCTAAAGTAGTAAATTTGCACAGGCAAAACAACAAGGCTCGGGTTTGTTTTATAAACGTTACCATGGATGCCACAACACAACTATTTTGACTACCGCGCACATATGCCGTATAAAATAGTTGTACAAACGTCTATGCAACCATTCAAAATTTGTCCTATAAGGTGTTGTATAACTATGCTATAAGAATATTTTAAACACCTCATTTTAGAGCAAATATGCTGCAGAAAGCAAATTTGCATTCCACACAACATTAAGCCAGCATTTGGTGTTCAGGCAACAACAATATAGAGCTTTTACGGCTGAACAGTTTTTTTACCAAAAGCTTATAGCACTACTTTGCTAGTTGGGCGTTATTGTTCTAGGAATGTGTCGATTCCGATTTTTCAAATTAAGCCTGTTTATAATCTAGGTTAACCTACATACCGCGCGGCGACTGATTTTTACACTGGATACCTTTTTTCAGAGGGGGAGGAGGAGGAGGGAAGGCCGACGTGGGCTTGCCCATTTAGAGTTTTTTCAGAGCTCAATATTTTGGTTATCTTGAAGCTTTAGTATATAGAAAATTTGCCATACCGTTACATGATTTAAATTTAGCCGATGCGCAATTTTTCGTGTACTTGTTGTAGGGTCCTCTTCGATTTTATTAAGCACAGTTTCTTCCTGCAATAGCGTGAATGTTGATGAAAGTTTGTACATTAGGCAGGGGGCGTTGTGGAAACCGATCACCATACAAAAGTCGTGCTCGTAGAGCCATTCCGTAAATGAAATGCATATCTGTCATTTGATGATTACTGTACTGGACCATAATGACAATTGGTCACCAAAACTTAGGTAAATACTTGGAGTCTTAGAATGACCAGACAAGAAAACAAATATTTGACAGCTGTCGAATTATTTGAGAAAATAAATTAAGTCAATTGTTTTCGGGTACGTCATAGGTGTCTAGATAAGCACAATGCTTAAATATTAAAAGTATTGCGATCAAAACAAATCATTGTAATGCTATTTTTCAAAAAATACTGGGTAACATTATCCGTATCTACGTCCATGGAGGGTCTGGAAACAACTATAAATCATGTGATATTCACCACAGGGTATACTTAATTAAAATAAAATACGTTCCATTCCTTTATAATTTTTTAGAACAACATCATTTCTTTCAGTGCTAATATGCTCTAGCTTGAAAACAAAGCCGTTGCGGACCCATGTTCATATGGAAATTTCGTCTTCAAATTGATCAAGGATTCGATGGTTAAAGTTTGTCTAGATACTTTATTAACACTTACCAATATTTGGATATTAAGCGTACGTAACACTTTCGCGTTCTACGATGCTTTTCTTCCTGACTGAACTATTTTTGTCTACTCATATATTTTCCTGAATTTTATGATCCTTAAATGTATCAGCCATTACATACTTAATCAGATTTAGATTACGTTTGAATCCTTCGAATAGACTTGAACCCATTCCTTTCTAAAATTTTAAATAAAGGCCTTAATGAAGGCTTTAGACTCAACTTGCTTGACGTTTTCTTTTTCTGCAGGTATCAGAGTGACCTACGACATGACAAAACCAACATTGTCCAGAGTGGTGTCAGTAAAAGTCCGCTGTGGAAAATGCAGGATTCCAGAATACGAAGACGTGGACCCCACCAAGAATTACACCATCGTAGCCCCAAGTTTCTTAGCAATCGATGGCGGCGACAGCCACTACATTCTCTCAGAACATGGAGCCAACAAGCAAACCGCTGATCTGGGGGATGTCGATTTGCTCGTGTGGTACTTTGAGCGGTACAGTCCCGTCATTCCTGAGGTGCAAGGTAGAATACGGTTTTCAGATGGTTCCGCGTGTAGTGCAGCTTCTGGGATGAGCATTCCTCGTGGTTTGAGTGTTATGGTGATTGCACTGTTTGTGGTGAAAATGTCTATGACGACGTAGTGCATTTATTCTGTTGCTTGCCAACTTATAATGGACGACGTTTTATTACAGAAAAGTGCGTTTTTTTTAAATTTTCTACTTACAAAACGCTTTAAAAACCTGGGGATGACCACATATTAAAAAAGTAAAGAAGGTTGAGTTGCAAATGTATCTTCGATGGTGCTGTTGTTATAGTTCTTTTCACGGCTTTTGACTATTACGCAGGCGTATCAGTGATACGGGGCCCTAGCTTACCACGGTCCCCACGTACGAAAATGTGTTTCTCACAACCCTATGCAAGGTTCTAGGCGGTGTGCTGAATTAAAAATTTTCAAGCACTAAACATTAGATTCGGCTGGATGATAGTAGCTAGCATGTTTCCTATGTTTAAGCCTCTAGATTACAACTGCAACGCCTAAAAGAACCTTTTCGAAATTAAAACTAACTAAAATATTTTAGGACTTCTATGAGGCAACTTTGATTATAAAGCATGGTACTCTCTTCAGTTTTCCATGACTCAAGATAAGTCTTTTGCTAAAGTAACACAATGTTTGAGCTCCATAATGTTTTTGACTATGCCCTAAACTGAAGGAATCGAAAACGATGAAAGTACATTTAAATATACAAAAATGTTTAATTACCCTTAAAAATCTTGAGAAAGTTGTAAAGCATACGAAAACAAATTCTGGGACGACCTGAAAGCTATTTTAATTTTTACTACACCGCTGCTCCGTCAAAAGGCGTGAAATGAGCTTTACGTAAATGTGCAATGAGAAACTGTGGTCAAAAATACGTACCTTGGAAAGTCATAAAGAAGATTTTCGGCCTTCAAAGCGTGAAGCCTAAGTAATACGTAATTACATTTAATTGAAGGGATTTCCACCGTAACATTTTTAAATCAAAGTCAATGAATTTTTCGAATCACATGTGTATTGTCCCAATTACATAAATTTTGAACCACTTCCATGATCAATTCCATACATATACAATTTTTTGACACATTACAGTTTAAAGATAAGTTTTTAGTTCCTTACAATGTAATAAAATTTGAAGCAGTATTTCAAATATCTGTACTGATATTGTTTGTACATATGTAATATACTGTAACGTATTAGACCATTACCGTGCTTTTTTTTAACCATAGTGTGAACCCAGCGTATATACGACACCTTTTATCTTACGTAGTTAAATGCTTATGTTTATTGTTATTACACCATTTTCCACATTTCCGACCATAAAAATTGTTTTGGTAAGCCATTTTCGTTTGAAGAAACAGCATTCGCACAGTAGTCGTAATCGGATACCAGAAACATAGATGAATGTTTGATGACTAGACGTTTTTTTGTACGTCACAATGTTTTTGAAATTTTGTCTATTAAATATTAGCGACAAAGTAGCGAAAATGCTCACTAAAACACCTCAGTCTGCACATACTCGTTGTATGATTGCAACGATAGAAAGCAATAGCAGAGCTAAGTTACATTTTGATCATAACAGTAGCGGACACTAACCAATAGAATTCAAGATAAGGATGTTGCTAGAAATATATAAAATTGGCAACGTCGGAAGTCTTCTATGCGAATGAGATTGTAGAGATGATTGGTCAGTAATTTTATATTTTTGAACGAAAATATGATAATTCATACAAAAAATGGCCTCGAGTAAGTTAAATATGTGTTTGCCACGCAACGCTGACATTTCACTTCATTTATGTTCAGAACAAATTAGCCTCTCCGAGAATAAGCCACGGGAAAAAATAAACAAGAATTCAATGCACAAAATCAGGCCCATAAAATGGTAGCAATGCCCAACTTGATCTGTCTCCAGTACTACTAGACATGTACCTCGATGATGAGTTGCTAATGAGCACAAAACAGCGCTGTCTGCTGGCTGAGGTTACAGAGGCGAAAAGCAAACATGTCGATTTTAAAAAGAAAGATTCGATATTTTTCATGATACTTAATAAGTTTTGACGTATTTTAACATGTACTGACCAGCAATTGACATCTTTGCTTACAACCTTGTACATGACCTCCAGCGCTATCTACTTCTAGCTTCTCAGTTTACCCCCCGTTAGTCCATAGTGCCCACCCATTTCATAATGCCGCGATCTAGGATTTTTCCCCTACCCTCCGACAGTACCGACCATCTGATAAGGTTGATAAACCACATCAGCCAGGCATGAGCCAGGACCAGTCAGATGTCAGATCCATACATAGGACTCTGTGCAAATATGTATGTATACGTTCGTTGCGTCGCCGTTCGACCGATACGCCACGCGTGTGTTGAAAATCTTTCTCTATCATTACCGCTTATAATGAAAAAGAAACACCTTTTCTAATGAAAAAAGCAGCAAATAACATATTAAAAGCTTAAAATGTGTTTGTGTAACATGTATTACATAAATAAAGATACATACAGAAAAGTTACTGGTAATTTTGAAATCTGCATTTTTCAGAATCTGATACACATATTACAAGCATACCTACGTACTGTGTAGGTATGTGTAAAAACCCATAATTTGCTTGGTAGAAAACCTATTAATTTTCATTTGAACAGATTGTTTTTTGTATAATTATTTAGAACAGCAACATGATTTTATTTAATTTGGTAAGTGTGGCTGCACTGTTTTCTTCTTGCTGAAAATAACGTTGCAACTTTTTCACGCAGCCTAATGCCTCCTTAGTTGTCACTGGAAGCTCTTCTTCATCATCGTTGTTTTCTAGTTCGTCTTCCTGTTCGTTATAAGCGGATCCTTCACTAACCAAATTGGAGTCTAACAATTCCTGTGTTGCTATTAAATTATTGTCAACTCATCAAATTTGTCTATATTCAGTAAACTATTAATTTTCAGTAAATCGCTTAATGGAATTTCATCTTCTGGATTAAAATCGTTGACTATTTCAGTTGTTTTCCACTAAACCACCATGGCGAAAACAATTACGAATCGTTTCTGGAGTAACCAATTCCCACGCAATAGTAAGCAAATTTGTATCATCTAAAATGGTGACAGCTTCGGTTTAAAGTCATCGTTGGTTGTCAGAGCGGTCCGTGGGACCTTTGCTCTTGAGTCACAGTGTCAGTTTGTAAGTCTGTCAGGTCTGGTAACCCAGAAACCAGACAATTTTAAGGAAAAAAGGGGAAGGAAAGGAGAGAAGGAAGAACGAGAGCAAAGGGGAAGAAGAGAATCTTTTAGGATAGGCAGCGTTTAGGAATTGTTAAAATCACTTCACAGATTTTGATATGGTCTAAAAATATTTGATTTTTTCTAAAGATTGTGTAAAAATGTTCCAATTTTGGTTGTTCTAAGTTCACGAGTTAATTTTGATTACAGTGCGAGCCGCGGCCTTTTGTGCTTGCGAACTTGCTCGACTGTGTAGTCCACTGACTCACGCAACAGAGGGTTGCTGTGCGATTCCGCTAGGCTATAGCGCCGCTGCACCTGTTGCTTAATGTAGTCCTTTAGGTAAGGGACATCGAGGTCTCTATGTAGAGTTTCGTTAGAGACATACCATGGGGCATCAGCAATAGTGCGCAACGTCCTGCTTTGCAGAACCTGCAGATTTCGCATGTGTGTTTTAGCAATAAAACACCAAGCCGCACATGCGTAAGTCATTGCTGGTCTTATGTCCACCTTATAGAGTCGAATCTTGTTAATCAAACTTAATTTTGACCGTTTACATAATAATGGGTAAAGCTGCCGAAACGTAATTTGGAATTTAGTTTTTAGCGCTTCCATATGGTTCCGCCAAGTCATCCCTTTGTCCAGAATGACACCGAGATACTTAGCGGAGGATTCCCATGGTATACGAAGTCCATTCATTGAAACTTCAGACGGAACGCCGCGACGTCCTTTTGTACAGTAGCCTGCGTTTTCGAATGGTTTATTTTAATTAGCCACCGATCCGCCCAATCTAATACTTCCTCCACCGCACTTTGCAGCCTGTCATGGACTAGGTCACCAGACCACGACTGAGCCACCAATGCAGTATCGTCAGCATAGAGATAGACTTCACAGTTGCTGGGACTAGGGACGTCATGGATGTACAGTGAGTAAAGGATAGGTCCAAGGACCGAACCCTGAGGGACGCCGGCTGTAATCAGCCGTGTTGTCGACAGGACGTTGTCAATTGTGATCCGAAATTTCCTACCTTCAAGGAAGGATTTCAGTAGTCTTAGAAGCCAAAAAGGGAAGCCCTTTTGGATTAGTTTATACAAGAGGCGCTCGTGCCACACCTTGTCAAATGCTTTTGAGACATCCAAAAGCAAGATGCCAGTACTTTCGTTAAGGGTGAATCCTCTGGTTACACGTTCCACCAGCCTAACCGCCTGTAGCTATGTTCAGACCGAAGACAGCTTCGGTAATGTTGACATCTTGAAGCTCCATAATTTTCATCAACATATGTTTCCGATGCATTTGTTTAAGACTCCAAATGACACCCTTGTCCATTGGTCGCAGAACTGATGGGTGGAAAAAAAATTGAAGGTTGATGTTATTAAGTGAAATATTTGGATGAGCGGGGCCGTTACCGATCAAGAGCAAAATTTTACGATTTTTCTTAACAAGGTCAGCATCCCACTTTTTTTTAAATATTTTTCAAAAAATTGATGAATTGTTTTAACATATTTGAAACACCTGGGATTCTTAAATTTCTATGAAATAAAAAAAGATATAAATTCTTTGCAGCACTGCCATTGAATATCAAAAAAATTAGAACATGAATTTCTATTCATTCACTTCCCTATTATCAATAGTTTCCATTTTTCAGTACCAGAAGCATTAGCACAAATCATAACAGTTATTAGCTCTGTTGATAGTTTCCCTCCATTGCAAGTTTCACCTTTTAATTTATGAGTTTTATCTGGTAACATTCTGTAAAATATCCCGGTTTCATATCTGAATAATCACTGGATATTACGGGCCAAACTTGAGAAATCCAGTCGTTGGTAACGTTCTTGTCAACTGAAGCTAACTCACTACAGGTAATCTCCAATCAATTTCCCAAATTCTTCAGCCTTTATTTGCATATAATGGATTGAAATAGTCCACTATAAGCGAGGGTCTATTTTAAGAGAGTCTATAATACCCCAGGATTTTACATGCAGTTAGTTATGGTACCTTAAATTGTGTCCATTATATACGGGTTTCCATTATAAGCAAGTTCATTATAAGTGGATTCCACTGTATTTCGGTAGAAAATGGTCGTATCTAGACTTTAAAGAAAGCATTTTGAAGCTTTAAGGCTCTAGTTTTCAGGTTATTTAGTTGAACAAATTTAGGAGCAAATAAAGCTTAATGTATTTTAACACCTGCTCTCACCTTCTGCTCTTAGTAGTAACCCTGTGTGGGAATTTCATCAAAATACTAGCGGTACTTTTCAAGTAACATACGGGACAAAGATAAACGGACAGACAGTCACACTGACAGATAGTCCTACAGAATGAGTGACATGTCTTTTTTGTGTTGTATGTACATTGTCCAAATCATATAACATCTGAAAAACAATAGGAAATTATTGGAGAGCTTATAAATTCAGGCAATATTTGTGGAAGACGGCATTTTGACACTGTTGACATATACGCATGCGCCCTTTGTGTCACTACTACGACTGCGTCTAGTGAAAATAGTGGCTGCATCTAATTAGGGTAAAATAAAAACTGACACAGCCCTTATTAGATGTTCTTCATAGAGTTATATAGCGAGAGCCCCTCGTATATCTTCCTAATCGGTGTACTTATATCTTATCTTAGTAAACAACCCTATGTTATATATTGATGGTTGTGCCCTTCAGGCATCAGTTTAATCCTATTACTCTTCAATTGAACTCACTTAGGTTAGGTTTGCTAACATATCGTTGTTAGTCGAAACATTGTATTTATATTAGAATAAAGTATCAAATCGCTTGTAAGTCGTTTTTTAAAAACGCGATTCAGCGACGCGATACCATCATTATAGCTTTGACATTCCTCTCAGGCGTGAACACCTTTATAAGTGTGTTTTAGTTCGTTTTGGTTATTTGTTTTTGATTCCCATCTTGCCATGTGATTTTAATTTTCAAACATCTGGCGACGGTTTGTGCTACGTGTGCCAGTTGGGTACAAGGTATAGTGTAAATAAATTA